AATCTACTACATAACTGTTAACAAGTCCAAGAAGTGTATTTCGTTTTAATAGACGCATAGTTAGTTTATTATTAGTTACTTAAAGTATATTTAAGTATGTGACACGGTTAGCTTATAACCGAAACAAGTAAAGTATTACTCTAATCAAAAGCAGAGGCCTTTGTCACTATGTTATTTCAACAATACAAAATGTAAAGTCAAAGATAGCATTTCTCTCATTATATTATAAACAGGCTTCTCATATAATGATGAAAGATAATCTCCTTCTCTGCACCATAGAGAAATAGGTTGTGGTATTAGATCATAAGTCTAAGATAAGCTCAAGAAGAATCGAACTTCTACGACACCCTTATCAAGAGTGTATACTAACCGTTATATTATGAGCTTTGTATGATAGATTAGGCAATCTATTCTTTTAATACTAGAATCCCCTATAGGAATCGAACCTATATAGGCAGCTTAGAAGACCGCTATTCTACCTTTGAACTAAGAGGACTATTTTACTAAGGTAAGTGAGGGCTCATAGGGAATTGAACCCTACACCTCAGATTTGCAATCCAAGTTCAACACCAGAAGTGGGCCCAATGATTATTTATCTTGTCAAACTTAACCATTGCTTTCTTCATACACATGATAACAGGTTAAAGTTAATCTCCTCTTTTACATGGGATCATTAGGTATAAGACAATTAAAGGTAATTGATAGGGGATTTAGTGTTATATTACAGTAGTTGAATATAATGTAAGTTAAGGTTATGAACCCCACCAGTAAACTGAAACGTACAGGAATAGCCAAACTACATCCACAAAGTGCCAATATAGGATGGATGACTCGAATCCAAGGTGGTGGTGATCTGTAAGGTGGTAGTTAATCATTCGTACAAATGCTACGGCGATGAAAGCTGTTCCAATAATTACGTGAATTCCGTGGAATCCTGTTGCGAAGTAGAATACTGATCCATATACTCCATCAGCAATTGTGAATCCTGCTGTTGCGTATTCGAATCCTTGTAGACCTGTGAATACTACAGCGAATAGTAGAGTCATTGCTGTTCCTAGGATTGCTCCTCGTCGATCTCCTTGAATTAGAGCGTGGTGAGCGTATGTTACTGTTGCACCACTTGAAAGTAGTAATACTGTGTTAAGTAGAGGAACTGCAAATGGGTTAAGTGCTTCGATACCGGCAGGTGGCCAGTGTCCTCCTAGTTCTACTGTTGGAGATAGAGCTGAGTGGAAGTAAGCCCAGAAAATACTGAAGAAGAATAGAGCTTCTGAAAGAATGAATAGAGAAACTCCCATTGTAATACCTTTTTGTACTGCAAATGTGTGGTCTCCTAGGTATGTTCCTTCTGTTACAACGTCTCGGAACCATAGTACCATAGCGAATAGTGTTGATAGGAATCCTAGTGTTAGTAGGGCTTCTGAATATTGGATACCGTTAAAGTATAGAACTGCTGAACATGTTAATGTAAATAGTGAGAAAGATGTTAGCAGAGGCCAAGGTGAAGGTTCAACCATGTGGAATGGATGTGATTGGAATTGGCTTCGTGAAATGTTTGTCATTTTAATTTATATACAATTACTTACTTTGCATGAGACAAGAGATTTAATCTAAAATAATAAAGTAAGGTTCTTCCTAATAGTTAATTAGAAAAGCTAGACATGGCACATATTTGTCCTACTAGGGAATTTATCTTCTACTTCAATACCATATTATAGTAAAGAACATATTTTGCAATAAGGAAGATGCGGATTAAAGAGGATTCGAACCTCTGTTACGTTTACACGCAAAATCGATTTCAAGTCGATCACCTTCAGCCACTCAGTCATTAATCCCTTGTTTATCTTTGAGTGGAGCAGGACTTGAACCTACAACGATATATATCACCTATTTTACAGACAGGCCCCTTAACCATTCGGAACATCCACTCTTTCATCCATTCTAAACATGAATAAACACCCCAAAGAAGTTTCGAACTTCTGCCTTGGAATCTTCAGCTCCACGCTCTAACCAATTGAGCTATCGGGGTTATTAATTATCACAATATATGGAGAAACAGAGAATCGAACTCTGACTGCTGTGATGCAAACACAGTATACTACCAATTATATTATTTCCCCTCTAATTACCTTTATCATTTTAAACATAACATCTATTCTTTTATCTCCTTAATAATTAGATAGCAATAGTTACTCTCTATTAGAATAAGCAGAAAGGGGATTAAGTGAAAACATTAAACTAGTAAGGCATAATGTCGAAAGCAATAAGGATACTTGGAACAAGGATCACCAGAGCAATTGCTACTGGCAGTAATCCTGTCCAACAGAATACCATAAGCCCATCGTATCGCATCCGTGGTAATGTGGCCCGGAACCAAACAAATAGGAATGTGAATAGACAAGTTTTTAGTCCAAGCACAATACTTTGTAGGTTTACGAATGTATCGTTAATGAACAGCTCAGGCATGTTGTAGCCCCCAAGGAATAGAATAGCGCTTAAGGTTGACATAAGAACGATACTACAATACTCTCCAAGGAAGAAGAACACGAAGATCATACCGCTATGTTCAGTAAAGAATCCGGCTACTAGTTCAGATTCTGCCTCTGGAAGGTCGAATGGAGTTCGGTTAGTTTCAGCTAAGGCAGAGATGAAGAAGATAATGAAAATTGGTAGTAGTGGAACAATGTACCATACAGATTCTTGTGCTTCAATAATAGTTGTAATGTTGAATGAACCGGTAAGAAGAATAACAATAAGAATTGCTGCACTTAATACTAATTCATAACTAATCATTTGAGCAGTTGATCGTAGCGCACCTAGGAAAGCATATTTAGAGTTTGCACTCCATCCGGCAAAAAGTACTCCGTAAATACCAATTGATGAAATTGCTAATGTATATAGAATACCTAATGAGAAGTCTGAAAGTGTTAGACCTGCTCCAAAAGGAATTACTCCCCAACCTAGAAGACTGAAGATTAATGTAATTACTGGTGCTAAGAAGAATAAGCTACGTGTAGAGTGTGATGGTACAACTGTTTCTTTAACAACTAGCTTCAGGGCATCAGCGAATGGTTGAAGTACTCCGTAGTATCCTACTTTGTTCGGACCAACTCGTCGTTGCATAGCTGCTAGTGTTTTCCGTTCAATAATTGTCATGAACGCTACCGCTAGAAGAATAGGTACTAGAACAATAACTACCTCTAGTAAGTTGTAAAGTGTTGTAAGCATAACGTTGATTGATTAAAATAACTTAATGCAACATCTTAATAATAAAATGCCGCAAAGTAAGGGTGGGAATATCACATTCCAGAAAGGTATATTATAAATACTCAAGTAAAATTACTCTCACTTTGGTATTAATACTATGATTGACTATCTAGCCATGCAAGGTATTTTTCTAGTGAAACTGCTTCTACACAAATAGGCATAAATCCGTGGTATACACCGCAAATTTCTGAACATTGTCCGTAGTACAGACCTTCTCGTTGTACTAATACAGATGTTTGGTTTAGACGCCCTGGAGTACAATCGATTTTTAGCCCTAGTGAAGGAACAGCAAAGTCGTGAATTACATCGGCTCCTGTTACAATGAATCGGATGTGTGTATCTACAGGAACAACAACTCGGTTATCTACTTCAAGTAGTCGTAATTGTCCTTCTTCTAGATCCGTTTCTGGGATCATGTAACTATCGAATTCGATACTATCTCCATCTTCGTTAACAAAATCACTATATTGGTAAGTCCAGTACCATTGGTGTCCAACCACTTTGATAGTCATTGAAGGTGACATCACTTCATCCATTAAGTACAGTAGTTTGAATGAAGGGAATGCAATAGCGATAAGAATGAATGCTGGAGTAATTGTCCATACTAATTCAATTAGTGTTCCGTGGTTTGCGTATTTGTAGACAATTGGAGATGTGTTAGCGCTGAAGTTAACAACTACTGAACCAATCACCCAACCTACACCTACGAAAATAATCACTAGGTAGAAGAAAATAGAACTGTGTAGTTCTGTAATTCCTTCGAATGTTGGAGATGCACCATCTTGGAATGAGATTTGCCAAGGTTCTGGAGCATCGTTATAAACTGTTCCGATTAGGGGCCAGTTAATTAATGATAGTAAATTTGACATATATATTAAATAAAAATTTATCATGTCTTTAACTTCATCTCCTTTTTAAGAGACCAAGAAAAAGAGGTCTTTGGTTTAGATATCTAGAAAATACTAGAAATTAAGGAATAGAGGACTCGAACCCCTGCATCTACTGTGTAAAAGTAGCGCTCTACCCTTGAGCTAATCCCCTTGTGATTGTCTATTGTAGTATAATGTTAACGCCCTACTGGAATTGAACCAATACTAACTATTTCGAAGACAGTTACACTACCATTATGTTAAAGGCGCAATAGTCATATTGTATTGACTAAAGATGAGGACCAGAATAACAATATGTACAAGTGATGAGACTTGAACTCATACAGCGTTTAGCCACTCGTACCTAAAACGAGCTTGTCTACCAATTTCAACACACTTGCTTTCATATAGATTAACTATTCTTTTACTACTATAACACCATTTGTCTATCTCTCTATTAACTTTACTAGGCTCAGTCAGCGGGCCAACTGTGAGCGAATATTTCATACTAACCATGGGGATTAGTTGTAGTAATAAAACTATGAGTATAGAACTAGGAATGAGATCATAAGGGCGAATACATGGGCTTTAATGAGTATATGTTATGTTATGTTATATTATGTTATACTCCAATAGATTACGCTATTGATAAGACTATGTCATCAGTAAATTAATTACTGTCAAAGTGTTTAGTCGTTGAACACCTATATTAGATGCTGCAAATTGCCAATGTTATTGGTTTTCTTGCACAACATTTGATTTATACTGGATTATTTGCTCTTAGTCCAGTTGCTTCTGCTAGGGCGACAGTTTGTTGTTTGCTTATTATGCTCAATAATTTTCACTATTGCTCAGACTATATCTTCAGTACAATGTACTGCTGAATTTTCTTGGTGTTTATTACACTAGTCGTTGAACGAGATTAAATCCTCGCTGC